ACTGCGGAGGCGGCGGAGTCGCAGAGCGCGTCACCCGGACTAAGAGTGCGGAGCCCCGAGGCTGCGCTGGGTGAGCACAACTCTGCGCTGCCCTTCCCCGCGCCAGCGACGGCCGAGCGCTTCTCGAGCGGGCGGGAAGATGATGATGATGTCGCTGAACAGCAAGCAGGCGTTCAGCATGCCGCACGGCGGCAGCCTGCACGTGGAGCCCAAGTACTCAGCACTGGAGCAGCAGCTCCAGCAGCAGCGGCAGCGGCGGCGGAGGCGGCGGGGGCTCCGAGGCGATGCGGAGAGCTTGTCTTCCAACCCCACCGGTGCGTATTTCTGTATAATCACCGCTTAAAGGCACATTTTGACAGCCCCCTTTATCTGCTTGATGTTTTTTTCATGTCTGCACAGCAAATCACTCCACACCTCCAACCAATTTCCCCCCTCTCCCTGTTAAGTATTCAGCGGGTCTTGCCTTTCATATTAATTTTTATGACCTGGGATGTTGCCTGTGCGCGTGTTGTGTTGTGTTGTGTTGTCTGTAGGCTCACTTTCCTCCTCCTTCCGCACTTTCGACTTCTCTCCGTGGCGCCTCTCTTTCTCCTCTTCACCTCTGTTTTCCAGGATTATTGTCGTTATTATTATTTTAACCTTCTGGGAATGTGGTAGGCGCGGTGACGGTGTGGAGCGCTGGGCCGGGGCTCCCGGAGAGAGCGCGCACAATTCCCTGCTGAGCGTAATGTGTGCCTTCTACTTGCAATTGCAGAGCAATATATTCGGCGGGCTGGATGAGAGTCTGCTGGCCCGCGCCGAGGCTCTGGCCGCCGTGGACATCGTCTCCCAGAGCAAGAGCCATCACCACCACCCGCCCCACCACAGCCCCTTCAAGCCGGACGCCACTTACCACACCATGAACACCATCCCGTGCACGTCGGCCGCCTCCTCCTCGTCTGTGCCCATCTCGCATCCGTCCGCGCTGGCCGGCACGCACCACCACCACCATCACCACCACCACCACCACCACCAGCCGCACCAGGCGCTGGAGGGCGAGCTGCTGGAGCACCTGAGTCCGGGGCTGGCCCTGGGCGCCATGGCGGGCCCAGACGGCGCAGTGGTATCCACGCCCGCCCACGCGCCGCACATGGCCACCATGAACCCCATGCACCAAGCGGCGCTCAGCATGGCCCACGCGCACGGGCTGCCCTCACACATGGGATGCATGAGCGACGTAGACGCCGACCCGCGGGACCTGGAAGCTTTCGCCGAGCGCTTCAAGCAGCGACGCATCAAGCTGGGGGTGACCCAGGCAGACGTGGGTTCCGCGCTGGCCAACCTCAAGATTCCCGGCGTGGGCTCTCTGAGCCAGAGCACCATCTGTAGGTTCGAGTCCCTCACGCTGTCACACAACAATATGATCGCCCTCAAGCCCATCCTGCAGGCGTGGCTGGAGGAGGCCGAGAAGTCCCACCGCGAGAAGCTCACCAAGCCTGAGCTCTTCAACGGAGCGGAGAAGAAGCGCAAGCGCACGTCCATCGCCGCCCCAGAAAAGCGCTCGCTGGAAGCCTACTTCGCCATCCAGCCGCGGCCCTCCTCGGAGAAGATCGCCGCCATCGCGGAGAAGCTGGATCTTAAGAAAAACGTGGTGCGCGTCTGGTTCTGCAACCAGAGGCAGAAACAGAAAAGAATGAAATATTCCGCAGGCATTTAGGAGGCCCTGGGCCTCTCCAGGGACAGCCCTCTCCTCGTCCCCTTTCCCTCCACATCCCCACCTCTTCTGCCTCTTTCCCCCCACTTTTGGCGACCAGAAACAATTCCGGTAAATGTGAACCGGAGACCGCGAGGATTGAAGAGCGACTGAGCCCAAAGCAGTGAAAACAAGAAAGGGTTTCTCAGAGTAAAGAAAAACGAGATAGGATCTGTCAAGTTGTAGCAAAGTTATCCCTTTTAACCCCATCTCGGCTTCTTCGGAGGAAGTGTGGAGTTGGCGGTTGGCAGGAAAGCAGGGGACCCAGCCTTTTAAAAGTCCGCAAGATTGAGCAAGTAAGATTTGTTTTTATTCTTACAGACATCACCCTTGTTCAAGTTTAAAAGTACACTTTGCAGCTATTTTTCAGAAATAGAAATTGATTCAAGACTGAATCTTTACACTAGAGTTGATGCTTAATGGGATAGAGACATCTCTAAAGTATTTTCAATTTAAAAAGATGGCAGATTTTCTGCATTTACACTGTATATTATATATATATTTTTATTGTGGCTCTTACCCCCTTCTTCCTTCTCTGAAGTGTTAATGCTAAAGAGAGGCGTTGCGCCTGCTGTGTTCACTGATCTCGAGAGCTATCATTAGATTATTGCCGAACAACCCTCTGTAAATTATTAATTTATCTCTCTAGCAACTTAATTTTGTGCACATTCTAATTAATTGAACTTCTTTAGTCTAAAGAAATAAAAACCGGGGGAAAACGTATAGCTAGTGATGTTCCAAATGTTTCCTTTGATGAGTTAGTTCACTGAATACTCACAACTTTCTTCTTACACTGTATTCCTTTTGGCCCATTTGTATATTCTCACTTTGAATGAAGATTGGCTTTTTTGTTTGTTTCATTTTTTACTGGTAGTGTTCTGATTTGTGAGTTGACTCTCAGTAATGGATGTCTTAATCGTGTAGACCTGATTCACTGTCCAAAGTATTGTTTACTTCGTTACATATTTAATGGGGATTCCCATATTGTCCTCACTACACACGAGCTCTCACACTCACCCTTACATGCCCACATACGCGTGCGGACACACACACACACACACACACACACACACACACACACATGCACATCTCCAAGAGAAGAAGCAAATGGAGACAAGACTAATGCAACATGTTCTAGCTTTTGGTGCATTTTCCACTTGCTACTTGTCCTCCCAGATGCTGAGATTTCACCAAGGTATTTCAATCTTCCAGTTTTCAATTGCTGTATTGGCTACATTTTAACATTTATAGAAATCTTTCAGTTTTTCCTTTTGGAGGTTTGTTTGTAGAAAAATGAAATTGAACTATAAGAAAGTGCACTGCTTGTAAATTCACATTGTTTGGTAGAATTTTTGGAGCAAAAAAATAGGTACATGATGACTTGTACCTTATGTATTGTAAATATTTCATTCAAAATGATGCACATATAGATATATTCTTACAAATTTTGCTGTATTGCTGTACCATTTGAGGCTTTCTAAAGTCTTCAGTTCTGTATATGACCTTGTTTTTGTTAATAGATGGTTAATTTACTATGGTAATGTATTAAGTTATTTTTGGTGTTGTTTGATTGTCTTTCATTGAAGAGATGATTTTAATGTTTTATTGGCAAAGTATGCTGTTTTTTCATTAAAATATGCTATTAATATTAAATGGCTTTTAAAATGTGATGCTGTTCTAATCGTTTATGTGGTAATTATTTTGGAGGGGGAGTTTTAAAGGCAGAAGGACATTTTGATAATTTGTGGGTGTGGTTTTATCAAACTATGGTTTGGACTTAGTAGAGGGTGTTTCTCTGAAAGTGCATAAAAAAGCAGGGTTATAATAGCCTCTTCATATCCATACCTCATATCACAGCGTGCTTTGCTCTACTATTCAGATGAAATTGTGATTTTTGGCTCCAAATATCTCCCTTGGAGTCCTTTCTGGAGACCTGCACTGATTCTGCAAAGAGAATCTTTATAAACAGATAGATACTGAATGGTAACTAACCCACTCCCTACCGTCTCTTGGGTAAAAGGCAAAGGGAACTTAGCTCCCTTTGCAGAAGCACCTGAAGACTGGGTGTGGCAAGTCCCAAACCCTGGTTGCAGAGCCCTGAGTCTGAGGACCAAGGACTAGCCCAACATAGTTCTCAGTTCACTCACACTCCTCTCAGTTCACTCACAACCCAAGCCACTGTATGAAGCACCTGGGTTGCTGGCTTACTAAGTAAAGTCTATTCTGTCTATTTCTCTCCATTTCCCTCCATGATCTTTAATAAAACTAATATTACTGCAATAGGCAGAATGTGGCTGAGGAAGAAGTTTGGAGGGAGGCTGAGAAGAACAAATTTTTGCTTCTTTCTGTGATTCAGTCTTACACTAGAGTTGGTTAAAATCTGTGTATCACTGATTTGCTACTGGCACAAGAAAATGCTGCCCATTTGATATATTTATTTTCCTGATCCTAGTTTACGGATACCTCAACTTGTTTTAATAATGTCAGTAACTATAGCTGAACAATATATTAGGTTTTGGATTTAGATATTTATAGTTTCAATTAGTCATAGTACTAGTTAGTATGTAAACACTGTACTAATCTCTCCATCAAATAAAAGGAAGGAACCAGGTCATCTTCCAGAGGTGATTCTGCTAACTTAAAATGTGACCCTTCTGGTAAGAAATTGTTTCTTATTTTGGGTTGCTTCTTATTTTGGAGAGAGGTTAGCCCAGACCTCAATGAAAATCCTTACAGTGGTTGAACTTGGGATTAAATATTGTTAGAAACTAATTATAATTTCCACTTGTAACAAAAATAGTTGTGAAAGTTGGATGGTGAATGGACAGTGGGATTTTTTTACCCTACTGAAATAATGCAGATACCTGAACAACAATATCCAAAAGTTCATTTAGAAATAGTAGCATACATTGCATAGATGCATAAGGAAACATAGGATTTTAAAAGGAGTTATGAGTTAAGATATAGTAATATATTGAAAATAGAATTTTATTTCCTTGTTTTGTAGGGTAAACGTTCCCCTGGCCATCTCCTTCCTCATTCTTAGATTCTGTTTTCCAGAGTCTTTTCAGCACCATGGCCAGCTGCCACATGACTCCGCCCTACTCCAGTAGTTCTAACCAGCCCAAGAACTTTCTGCCTGCTTGCTTCTTTTCACAGTGGAGAAAAATAATGAAATAACTTGAATGTTTAGCTCATGAGATTTGCTGGTTTAAGATAAAAAAGATCTTCAATAAGTCCTATCTACCCTTTCCCATGTGTGGATTTTTATTGAAGAAGCATGTGCATTTATTTTATAGAAGATTATGTGCATTAGGAGAAAGATGAGTAAGCTGGAGAGAGGACAGACAAGTGCTATTGTTTTATTTCTTCAAATATGGCATATTTGATGGAAGACAGAAATCTTGTAAAACTAGTACAAGTGGAGAAATACTGTGAACAAAAATAAAATAGGTGTTCATTCCCTTTGGTAAATTTCAATGCACATGATAACTTGTGTGCATGCTTGCATGGCCATGATTTTTGTGAAGAAAGTATGTAGAAACAACTTTCTACTTAGCTTAACAGCTGAGTTTAAAACTTATATTTCACCTTAATTTACCAAGTGTGTGTGTGTGTGTGTGTGTGTGTGTGTGTATGTGTTCTTTTTTTTCTTTTGTCTCAGGTTCTTAGATATAAAAAACTATCACACTTTAAATTCATCTTTTCTTTTATTACAAGGGCAAAAAGCAAAGCAAAAAAAAAAATAAAAACTTCTTGCTTACAAGAGTGTAATGTTTCCCTTCTCAGAGCCTGCTTAAATATGTCATGTATGGAAAAAGCAGAATTTTTAAGAGAATTGTATTTTGAAAGTTTTTAGAATGAGAGTTGAAAAACAAACAAAGCCAAAGAGATTTGGAGAGAAGAGAGTTGGTTTTAAATAAAAACAAAATTAAAGGTAAGAATAGAATGAACTTTGCATAATTTTTTGAAAATATACATTTGCTGCTGACTTTCAAAATACTCAACCTGAAAAATCATTTGAGTCCGAAGGGAAATGATATAAGTCACTAGCAGAAAAGATCAGCTAATCTTTGGTTGATATCTAAGTATTCTTCAGAAAAAAATATATTATTCAGAAAGAATGCAGTTTCTTTTGAATATCTGATGTAAACTCAGTTGTCAGTTCTTTGTCATATTAAATTTCATTGATATCTTGATTTGGGAAAATAAGGACAGTATTAAAAAGCAAATGAAATAATATTTACATACTTTTTGATGCTTCCTTTTTCTATAAAATATGATTCAAAACTAAATAAGAATATATATATATAAAACACTGAGTATTTCTACAATTAAGACCAGATCCTGGAATCTCTACTTGCCAAGAGAATTAGAATTTGGGGGATAAAATGCTTTATTCCAAACTTCCAATAAATCAATTAATTTTGATCCATTGGGTAAGCTCCAGAGGTGATAGTGGAAGAGATATTGAAAAAATTCACTTGATTTTATAAAGCATATTGTTCAGAAGGTGAACTCCAAATTTTCTGGGTAAGCCATGACAATTAACTTAGAAATTTGTCTGTTTTTAGGTAAGTGATTCACATTAGAACTCAGAACTTAAGTTTGCATTTGCAGTTGGACTTAAAGGTGGGGGGATTGGATTAGTATTCTAATAGGAAAAAAAGGAAGACAAAGGTTTCCAGATGTTTCTGAAGTCAACATTTGTCAGGAGACAGATTTATGGCAATCAGAAAAATATTGCTAAATCCTCCCTCCTTTGCCCCTTTAAAGAAGCCATTCCCAGTACTGAAAGTCTATTATGAGAGAATTAATAAATTACACAGCGAATTATTAAATCCAGATAATTACAAGGAATAAGTAAGTAATCATTAGTTATCTCAGCTAATTACTGTGGGTCAGAGCCAGCCGGAATGTGAAATCCTCCGCGGGAATTGAAATTAACTTTGCACAGTGCGCCTCTCTGCTTGACATCCCCACTCTGCAGGCACATGGCAGCTCCCCTGTGAGCCAGTCTTTCTATTTAACTTGGAGAGAATAGAAATAAAATTAAGTGGCAATGTGATAATAGGAAGCTGCTCAGAAAGCAAACTGTAGGTTTTATTCGGTACTTTCAATGCCTGGAGATGAAAAGCTTTATTTACACCAGTTAAAAACAAAACAAAACAAAACATTTAAAGCACCCTTGTTGAGATTGGGTCCCTGAACACACATGCACACGAATCTCCATTCAATTGGCGTGACAGATTAGCAGCTCGTGAAGTAGGGTGAAGGAGAACAAACATTTTGAGCCCTCTCTCTCTTTCTCACTGCCATGGGGTGGGGTGGGGGGAGCAGTCAGAAAGAGAGAAATAAAATGAAAATCGAGCTCTTTGCTTTCATCCTGAATGGTGGAAAAGTGCAGCCTGGTCTAATAACGTTTATTTTGTTTGGGTAACAATATGCTTTCATCTTGCCACAGGAACATGTAGCTTAGTGCAAATGTTGTCTCTTGTTGATCTTTTGCCAGATGCTTCAAGAACTGAATGAACGTGTGTGTGTGTGTGTGTGTGTGTGTGTGTGTGTGTGTAACTTTCTGAAGCCAGTTTCTCCTACCCTCTCTCTGTCTATGCTCTTCAAAGCCCCAGGCCTTCTAAAAGGCAGAGAAGAGGGTGAAACCCAGTACCGTTGGAAAATATAAAATTGTGTGTGTGTGTGTGTGTGTGTGTGTGTGTGTGTGTGTGTGTGATAATGCGATTGTGTGCATCACAGGACTGGGAAAAGCTGGCCATACCAAGAAAACTGCTGTTAATGTATCAAAATGAGGGGAAAATCTAAGAGCTCTCTCTCTCTCTATCTATCTCTTTTCTTTTTTTTATCAATTGCAATTAGATGGACAGTCTTTCCGCTCATTCCCTGCACTAGTCTGGGATGATAATAAAAATTTAATGAAGCCGGGGACGAGTAGAGAGCTCTGTCTAGGGACCGTGGAATAGAATATTTTAACTGTACATTTATACCAACTGTCTGGCTTCAAAGACGTGACTGCTTTTAATCTCGAATTAGAAAACCACAGACTTGAAATTAAATATTAGATACCCTCGGATCCCTTTCCTTTCTGAAATATTGTCAAGATTCTGTTTTCTTCCATTGCCCGAACACACATATCTTAAGGTCTCCAATTACATTTCCTTGAATAATAGATGGCTTTGATAGGGTACAGTATTCTGGTGCTTTTGTGTGTGTGTGTGTGTGTGTGTGTGTGTGTGTGTGTTTAAATAGAGTTAATGCAATATTAATTGGCTTAGATGTTATAAGAATGCACAACCCCCTTTTCAGGAACAAATCGATGAGAGAGGGACGTAAGAAGGCGAAGGCTTTTCCCAGCTTAGGTCACTTCTTCGCGAAGGGGACCCTCTCGGACTCCGGGTAAGTGAAGATGCCCTTAGGTCCGCGTCTGGGATTCTCTGGCCGGGCGGCCTGGAGAAAAGTCCGCCGAGAGGTCGGAGGCAGCAGAGAAGAGAACAGTGTGTAAGGGGACAGGGCGCGGGAGCAAGCGTCACCCTAGGGATTTCCTC